ACCATAGGAATCCAGTAAATAAATAATTTTTCCACAGGATATAAATTCAAATTATACAAATGATTGTGCCAACCCTAAACTCTTGGCAAACTTTCTGGAATAAAAAGAAAACTTTTTGTTTCTATTTCAACAGTCGTTTCGAAATATTCTATATGGCGTGGCTGAAAGTTGCGAAAAAGTTACTGTACGCTGGAAACTTCGAATTTTAAAATATAAATGATTTTAAGCTTTGAAAATATATTCTTGATATTCGAGATGTCCGGTAGAATTTATAATTATTATAAAATACGGTGACAATACAAATATATTTTGTAGACATCACATTAAGCTGTACAGGCAATTACACAGGCCGACAAAATTTTTGGTGTTTCGAATTTGATAAGTGTCTTTAGCTAATATGGGGACGTTGATTCTGAATATAAATTTGGTTTGAGCCCATCACGTTAAGATTTTTTACATAATTTAAAAAAATCCTTGTGAGATATTTTGTACTAGATCAAACGAAAGTAACTTCCCTTATTGATATTTCGAAAATTGCATTAAAATTATTTCTTTAAAATAAACATAATATTCAGTATCCTGATCAAACTGCTTAACGACCTACCGTACCTTATGGACCAGGAATTTCCATTCCTCCACCTTTTCTTCATACAATCCAACAACAATCATCAGACGAAAGTTCAAACGAAAAAAACCGACAAAGACGAATTCAATCCTGATATATACGAGTATGTCAACAGTTTATTCATGCTGAACTAAATAAATTCGGCAGAGACTTAGGCCCTTTCTCCACTGCTCCGGTCCGACGTCGGATACCGGAATGAGTCATGAGAAAAATATCGGAAGGCCGGATTGCGCTTCTCCACTATATCCGATCCGACAATTACCGATACTTGTGTATTTATTATGCAACACTTATTCACTAAAACCCATATACTTAATTTTATAAATAAAACGTTCTAAATTCTGAATATTTTATTGCCCTGGCTAGTTATTACTTCTTTTATATTGTCTATCTTGAAATATTATAATCTACTTAATAAATAATTCACTAATACTATGGTATAAAAATATAAACAAATTGCAACATAATTTGGTTTGGTCCAGGTTATCCAGATTCTTTCAAATTAACCGATAAAACACCGCGTTCCGATCTAGCAATTTATCGGATCGTTAAAAACCGGATACCGGAGTAGTGGAGAAGCACGTAAGTACTGTTGTGAGTTTCTAAATCGGATCGGTAATTAACGTTTGCCGGACCGGAGCAGTGGAGAAACGGCCTTAGGCCTATCAAAGGATGCTGCACAAATCTTAAGATCACAATTAAAAGACAAAAATCTGTTAGCTCCAGGAACCACATTTTCGTGGTATAGGCATCGTGAAAAAGAGTTCACGGAATATTTATTTCAAGAGGGTTCACAGGTGTAATAATATTCCTGAAGTAGTCCTGAAACTGGGAGTTGACAATTATGATTCCACATCGTGGAGGTTACTTATTGTTTCTTCTAAGAGAAGTTTAAAGGATGTATGACTCGATGCCTATTGCTCACTCCGCATCTCAAAGAAGCGTGTGAGAATCTTGAGCTGTACGTTTAATAAAAAAAATTATAGCTTATATTGTTGGCAACTCTGGAGACTTCAAAATAATATCCAAGCTTTTGAAGAGTTAATCCTAAATTCGTTCTTTTGCCTCTTCTTCAAATAAAGTTAGTATTAATGAAGCAGTTTGCAAAGCTTTAAATAAACAAGGTAACTGCTTTAAATACCTTTGTGACAAATTTCCTGCACGAGCAATGAAGGAAAGAAGAAATTTTTGTATGCCCTCAAATTCGAACAGATTGTACAAAGGAATTATAGCCAACATGGTCGAAAATTATAACGAAACTGGGAATCAAGGAACGTCAAACTTCATTACTTTGATTCCCATATTGACGCTTTTCCTGAAAATCTTGGAGCAGTCAGCGAGGAACAGGGAGAGAGGTACCATCATGACTTAAAGGAGATGGAGAAACGTTACCAAGAAAGATGGGATATTAGCATGATGGTTGATTACTGCTACCTTGAAGAGAGACTCGCTTACAAAAATCCACAAAAAGAAAACTACAAAACGCAGTTTTCAGGGAAAAAGAACGATTTTATAAAAAAAAACAACGATTGTCTAACGTATTATTATTTATATTCCATTGTTTGTTTTGAAAATCTCAATTTTGCAGTTTAATTTTCTAATACAGTTTAAATAAAAACTTTCTCAGTGTTTTCGGCAGTTTCTATGAAAACTTTCAAACACACTTTAATTAAAAACCTGTAGGCCTGTGTTACTATATTCATCCGGAGGTTGGAGACCTCTGATCTTAGTACACACCGTTTAGTTATTTTAAAGGTAGTTAAATTTATTTCAACCCTTTTAATAAAATACATCTCTCTCTCTCTTTGTAGTCCTAGTAGCGCAATGTGATACAGATTTTTAGTGATAATACATCAGTAGACAAGTTTTTAATTATGCAAAAAGAACCCTCTAAATTGGCATATATTTAGTTAATTGATTTTTATGAGTTTTGAATAGGAAATGGATATTAAAAAGACAAATTGGGTATGATTATGACTTTCAGTTTTAACTATTTATTCTAGACAAGCGACCCGCCCCGGCTTCGCACGGATGCAATGCTGATACTAAATTCAAAGTGCTATAGAGTATAGGGAGAACCGCGGCCTGCAACGCGCTGCGTCCCGCAATTTTTAAATTTGTAATGTCTTCGAAAATATACATTGAAATCATAATGCTGTAAAGGGCTATATAAATCTATATTAAATCAACAATGTATTTAAGCTATTTAATTGGATAAGGATTAATGCTGTATTGGTTAAAATCGCTTCAAAAATCAGCCATTATTTGTCGTAAATGTAAATTAGTAAATGACAAAAAAATGTTATTGTGGGATATCCATAAGACATATACCACCGCGGAGTTTTCTGTAGACCTTTTCAATGTGTACAATACTTGTGAGTGTCAGAATGGCCGGTCACTAGTCGTGTAGAAGATTAAAATGTCGTTTAAAAATTACTTCCCAATTGCTTCTATTTAATTCCTACTACAAGACAATTGCTTCCTTAGTATCTTGGGAGAACCACAACAATTTTAGTGACCGTTCATTCTGACGTCAGAATGGCTGGTCACCTATCCTATTGTACTCACTATAATGAATTATCGATTACTTCATAGTTCATGTTTTGCTTCATCCTAGGTTTTCCATCCTCGATGCTGTACCTATCATGAAATTAAGATATCGAACAATGTTATTACAATTCCGCCCAGCGCCTGGTAAAAATATACAGGCAAAAATATAGAGCAGAAACTAAAAAAAAAGTGTTTTTGCCATCGAACGGATTATTATTGATAATGAAATTGTAATTACAACAAACACTTGTGGACTGGACTCCGTATGCCAAGCATTAGCTTTAGCATACGTCGATGGAAGTAGTATAAGTAATATAAGATACTAAGGAAGCAATTGTCTTGTAGTAGGAATTAAATAGAAACAATTGGGAAGTAACTTTTAACTGACATTTTAACCTTCTACACGACTAGTGACCGGCCATTCTGACGCTCACCAATACTTAGTATATTTTTTTGATAAATCTCGTAGGGTTCGCAATGTAAGCGGAAAAAATGTAATTATTTACGATTTACGACATCACATTAGAAACCTCAAAAATAACATTATTTCTCCATCAATATTTAATGGATGTTATTATACATAATTAAACCTTCCTCTTCAATCACTCTATCTATTAAAAAAAACCGCATCAAAGTCCGTTGCGTAGTTTTAAAGATTGAAGCATACATAGGGACAGAGAAAGCGACTTCGTTTTATACTATGTAGTGATGCTAGCATGTATGATATCATCAATCATCAAGACACAATGTTCTACATTGGTAAAGTAATGCGAGTCCACTTTCATACGGTTCCGTTAAAGTTGTAGTCGAGTTTCAGACAGAACTTTCACGTTGAAATATGGAAACAATAGAAGTGCCTCTATAAACTTTGTTTTTAGTATTGTTGTGTTAAATATTTTTCACACAAGACACTATTCGTTTTGCAACAAATTTTAACAAGTTTGTTGGTACCTACAAAGCACCTCGATTTTTAACTCTTCATTTGTTCGTTTGGAAAACTGTATTCATATTATGCATTACTTTGTCATCGTCTCAAGTCGTGAGGGTCAAGATCTCTAGGGTGAGATATTCATAACATTTGAATAATAAGAAAACACATGGTACAAAAGTTTTATTGATTTATAAATGCAATTTTTTTCTCATTAGAAATAACTAACAGAAACAAGAAAAAAGTTACACTCGAGCTTTTTTAATAGCTTGAATTTACATATACAAATGTTTATTTTAAATCCCAAATTGTTATTGTTATTAAAATCATGAGTAATTTGAAGTCTTATTTTAATAATTACAAAAACACTATATCTAAGTAATTGTTAAGATGGTACTAATTTAGCAGGAACAAAAGTTGTTAAGATACATAATTAATGTTGCACTTACATGAATTAAATCAATCTAAATCTAAGAACAATAAAAATTCTGTAAAAAAAAAATTATAATTGTATCTTGTGAATCCAATAGTTTTAACATAGTTTCTGGCCGACTATAATTTCCTAATCTAAAAATTAGGTTTGACAGCATTCATTTGTAGACTATCATAGATCAACTTATAAACTGTAAATTAAAAAGAAAATAAACCACTAACTTAAACTCTCCAGACTCTCTTGACTTTCTCTGAGCACAATAAAAAACTTTCAGAGACAAACACTCAATTTCAAAAAAATTGTTTATCATCAACAAAAAAACAGTCACAAATCAGTCTAAAAACCTGTCTTCTATTGATAATTTTACAAAGAATGAGTTAAGAAATATATTTCTATGAATACTTTAATCACAGATTATACGTCCCTACGACGTTTTATTCACAACAATATTTTAACACAATCACTTATTTTAATGTTTCATTTGGCAGTTTGGTTATCACTACTTTTGGATCGACATTTAATACACCACTTAGCCTTTCAAAGGTAACTGGCATATAGGAGTTGTAGAATGGCATCATAGTAGTCACATTTTCCAACCTGTCTAAACAAGGCTTTGTACCATAGAAAGAATACTCTTCCTGATACTCTATCGGCAATTTCGAGGTTGACTTTCGCGCTACCGCTTTAAAAAACGGCAGCTTTGATGTGGACTTTCTGGCTACTCGCTTTCTAGGAGATAACGCTACCTCACCCATGGTTTCCTCCTCGTCATCCAAAACTATCACCTTCGATGATTGCGGTTCTAAAGTCGCATATTTTATCTGCTCGGAATGGGAAGCTTCTGTATGCGCTTTCAAATCTTTCTTTAATGTAAATTTCTGTGGGCAATATGAACATTTCGCCTGAACTCGCCGGTTAGTGAGTTTATAAAACACATAATTGCCATCCTTTGAATGTGTTTTTTTCTTATGTTCTTCGAACTTATGAATGTCTTTGTGTAAAGTACTGCAAGTGGAGCATTTGATGATTACTTCGCCTATACGACCGAATTCCGTCTCAGCATTTTCATGTACATGATCGGAAATCTCTGATTGTAACACAGGTGACTGACAAGTGAGGCAAATGATTCCAATTGACGGCACGTCCAATTTTGTTTTAACCCATTCAGACGGCGATTCAGTTGGAACTTGGGTAGCTATTATATTTATAGGTTTCATCGCGTGATAGACTTTCTGATGTCTTTTAAGATAACTTATAGTTCCGGTCACCTTGCAGTATTCACACATATACGGTTTTAGGTCATAATGGATTTGGAGGATGTGTTCATTTAAGATTTTCTTCTTGGTAGATGAAAAGTCGCAATATTTGCAGCTGGTGTTTGCCTTGCGCTTTCTATGTTTGATTTCAGTGATAACGAGCCTATCAACATCGCTATCGGGGGACTCTCTTGAATACGTTGACTGGTTTTCAGGCGTTGGAACTCTTTCCTCGTATCGTACTACTAGTAAAGAGTTGTCTGAAGGGTCAGGTGAAATAGACCGACGTTGCTGATCGACTGACTGAGGGGCACAATTCATACTAAGTTTTTGAACCTCTAGTACAGCATCAACCCAGGCCGTCCTGACGGCTGAATCTCGAGGAGCTTCCACCGGACGAGACGACTGCCCTGAGTGGGTCTTACAATGAAACTGTGCCTGATGGTAGGATGTAAACGTTTTAGGACAAGTACTGCAACACCATCTGAAATACATGTGCCAAACTAACATAAGTAAATAGAATAAGAATTTATTATTTAATATAGATTTTTTTTAAGTTTATTTTAAATCACTCTATGATAAAATGGAATAAAAAATATATGTTTAGTACTTACCGTATCTTATTCAATTCACTTTCCAAATGGTTACGCATTGTACATTCTTCTCTAATAACTTCGTTGCACTTTGGGCAACAAAAAGCCATGTCCTTGGAGACACCCAGAGCACCAAATTTATTTTCCAATTCTTCTTTACTGAGTATGTTTGTCACATTGCTTACAGTTGTATTTTGAGGAATCAAGAGACATTTCAGTTCACTAGCGCCTTGAGATTTTTTTATAATTTCAGCTTTTTGTTTAGCCAATTTTTGCCTACAGTTATCAATATGGGCCTCTTGATGTTGGAGAAGGCCCGTGACCCAAGTTTCGACCCGAGTGTCAACAGGTAGCTCCACAGGGTCTCGATTGACGCGATGCTCTGATGTCATATGTTCGCTTAGACCACGCCTATGGAATGCCTTGTAGAAACAGATGCTGCAACTCCACCTAAAACATATTTTTCATTAAATATCGTTTTGGTTTTACCATTATACGATTAACGTTAATTATTTAATAGAACAAGTTTGTGATTTGTGTGAACACATGTACTTACTTTCTATATTGTAGCTCTTCATACAGATGAGACTGCATGGCTTCTTTAGTGTCTTCAATTACAATTTTACACAATGGACATTTGTACCTTAAGCCATTCGGCTCGCAGAACTGACCAAATAACTTACAAAGATCTTCTATGTTTTCTTCGATCGATTCAACTACTTCTTGCTTTACGATGGTAAGATTGAAATCGGGAGGTGTTATATTAGTAAAGGGAGTTGTGCTTAAAGAAACTGCCTCGCCCTTCTCAGATTTAATCTTGGTTTCGGAAGAACCATAGTTTTGCTTCTGAATTTTCCAAAATGGAGTCCCATCGGCTTGATTAGGCATTGACCCTTCACGATAATAGAAATAAAATGTCGCAGCAGGAAACTCTTGGTGCGATTGTGACTGATGTTTGGTGACATTTTCTTCATTTGAAGTTCTAAACGCGCAATAAACGCATTTAAATTGCATTTTAGAATTGTGTATTTTCGCGCAATGTTCGACTACTTCGGGACGCAATAAACTTTTATATTCACAAAGACCACATTGCCAAGGTTTCAAGTCCATAGTCGGCGCTGTGGAGGCCGACACGGGAGGGGTCATTTGAAGAACACTGTTTACTTCTTCTCTGACGACCATGACGTCACCGCGATTATGTGCTTCATTGACATGTTTTTCGACTATCGTTTGTTTGAAATGATAGAATCGGCATTGGGAACAAGCGTAAAGCTTAGCATCGTGCATTTTCAGGTGAGCGATTATACGAGAAGCTGTCAGCGGTGTTGTCGTGTCTAATTTTTGGTAAGGAGGGCAATGCACACAGTGGAAATCATTGCTACCCGAATGTAAAGTCTCCCAATGACATTTCAACATATTTTCATCGACTGAAATATACGAGCAGCCTTTAGCGCCACATGTATGGCGTGTTCGTTGTGGAACATATTTGGGATAGGAAGATGCCCTTTCGAGGGGAATAGGGATCGTCGGGGTTTCGTTTTTGTTGAGTTTATCTTGTCTGTTGGCAAGCGAGCTGGAAGCTAAATTAAGCATTTTATCAAAATGCATTTCGTTGGTTTCTAAATGCGGGACGGGGTTGACGGGAGCCGTTTGTGGTACAGGCTGTTGATTCGCGTGCAACTGCAAGTGACGTACCATATTCAAACGAACTTTAGTGGTGAACTCGCAAAGTGAACAATATATAAAATTTTCAAAAATAGGGTTTATAGGTAGTTTACCGATTTCGTGCGGGCCATACTTAGTTATTTTCACAGGTGGTCCTAGGCTGTTCTCAGCAGATGTTTTTCGTTTGGAATTCTTTTTAGCGGTTAGCTCTCTAAATGTCACTCCTCCCACTTTTTTAGCCGAAAGAACGATATTAGAAGGATTTTCGGTTGATTGTTGTTTTGCTTTATCCTGTGGTCCAATCGAGTCAAGAGAATCATTTCGGTCCGTTGATTTAGGTTTATGTAGATGATTTTGAGTATAATGAGCGAGAAGTTTAGTTTTCGTACCTTTAAAAGGACAGAACGCACATGGTATGTGGTATGTTTGGTTAGGGAAGCACTTTGATAAATGAGTTTTGAAATGGGCACAATTTTTTGATATTACGGAGCACGTGGCGCATTTGTACAAAGATTTCAAACGAAACTGTGATTTTACAGGGTCATCCAAAGAGTTAGACATTTCTAAGCCCTGTGGCTCTTGTATGCTTGGGGTATTTGTTAAGTTGGATTCTCTGGACACATTTAATGTGTTGAGAACCTCGTCATCGCTGTCTAGGCATATGACATCAGTGGAAGTTCCTGGTTTCGGTGAATTTGGAGTTACCACCTCGCTCTTGACGATAGGTGTTGAATGGTCTATGGTCACTGCAGCAAGTGAGGTGCATGACCTTGATTGCGGCTCTGAGGTAAAGTTGAGCATTGATTCGGCAATGCTGGGCTCATCTGAAGATACTTCATTAGGTGTTTCCTTTTCTATGATAGCTGTAGACTCATTGAAAGATGTTGTGTGCCCTATTAGTTTCTCCAAATCCATAGATCTCTCCGCTTCCCTGACTGGGTTTTCTCTCACTCCAGTTGGAGACACATCCGTTATGTTGGATTTGGTAGGTAGGTTAGATTTATTCAATTGCGCTAGTGGCAGTACTCTAAATTCTGAAGTCCCCTCCTAAAACATAAAACAAGCGTGAAATATAATCTATTACTGTTAAGGTTTAGTAGATAACTAGCGACTCGTCCCTTCCTCCAGGCTTCACACGGACAACTGTGATCCGAAAATATTAGTGAAAACCGCAATTTCCGTACAGTAGTTTCGAGTTTAACAGACAGACTGATAGACGCGGCGGAGGGCTTGTTTTTTATATAATATGTTAGATATATGCTGTCGTTGACTTTCGTGGTCATTGTAATACTCTACAACTTTGTAAATAGGACTACCGCCTAAAGTCTTATAACTTTTCGGGTTAAGATTTCACGAATAGAGTGGCTTTCCCTTGGTAAAAGAAATTTTCAGTGCAGTTCATCCAGAGATTACACCCTACAACCTCAGAAACTTTACCTCTTTATAATATTGGTATAGATGATAATTTATTTCGTATCATTGGCAAATTTACAAGCACAAATAAGTACCTTTTGATAACAAATTGCATACTTTTTAAATAAAAATACTTAGTGCCGGCAATTTCATTTGACTTTTCATTCAACAGGATAAGAAGCCGCCGCTGTTTTAGGTTGAAATAAACAGTAAATTTTGGATTTTAACTTAGCAAGGAATAGAAAATTTTAGAACATCATACTAATGAACTAACTTTGAACGAAGCAATTATTATATTATTAATAGTTAAAAATTTACATTTTATTTACCTTATTTGTAATGACTCTCAGATATGCTTTTGGCTGACAGACGGCGTGATGGATTGACGAATGGGTCAATAATTCATTCTCACTGTCGGCACCAAATACGCACCACGCGCATTGATAAAGTTTAAGCCCGTGCGACTTATAATGATGGATTAATGCTGCAACGGAGTCTGATGGTGCTTTACAGATCTGCAATATTAAAAATAAAATTTGGAGGATAAATACTTAACTCCCAGTTAGAAGGCAGGATGGATCTATTTTATCTTCATGGATCCGTAATCTTTATACGCAAAGCACTTGTTATATCGTCGTTCTATTTGTTTGTAGAGATTTATTAACAATTTCAACAGTATTTTGAAAAGCTGAGAACCGCACGAAAGAAATTAGACGATAGACATATTGTACGGGACAGATATAAATATAATTTTTTAGCCACGATCAACAATTTACTTAATTACTTCACACAAAACGAATAGAAGAAAACTCACAAAACATTCATGGATTGTAACATCTTTGTGTCTGCCCTTAATGTGTTCACAAAGTTTTCCCGGTGTATAAGTCTTGAATTTACATTTCACCCCATCTTCATCATCTGAAATTGAGACACTCTGAGTTAGAATGTCAAGTAACTCCTACATTACGAACATTTCAACAATTTGATGAAATTGAAAATGAAAATTCTTTGAGATACTACACTTCAACAAATCAATCAAATCACTTAAATATGCTAATAATAATGTTTACATGTTACAACAGTAATTTTAACGACATTGAGTTTTAAGTACTATAATATATTGATGATACATAATAAACCTGCACGTTAAACATGTTATAATAATAGTTATAGACTATACACATGTACTTACCACAAGTACAAACATAGGTCGGTACAGCGGCTTCCCTTGATAACATGTTTGCTTCTATTGGTTCAGTTGTAAACGCTGACTTTAGAATAGTTTTTACCGGTACATTTTCGTGAACTCTACCAATATGCGTATTAACAAGTTGGCTAGCGGTCGCTCTGTAGAAACAATAGCCACACACATACTGACAGAACCCGTGATATTTAAACACATGTGTAACCAAATCAATCGCATTGTCCAAACAATCAAAGTGACAATAAGCGCATTTCAAAGCATTGTCACCGCCTATACGAGAATGAGTAGATACATGAAGCAATGCGTCCTCAGCGCTATTTGTGGTGTATGAACAAAAACGACCCGCGCATTTAAAGACTTGAACCAATTTCTCTTGACTTATCATTGCATCTAAAATAATTATGTGTTTCTTTGACATGATTTCAGCTTGAGCCTCTTCGTACAGATAACGCTTATCTTGAACTGGTTCTTGCGTTGGATAGGATATCAGAGGTTCTGTTGAATTCCCTAAGCTTACAATATTTTCTATGACTGGTAGTGGCGATTGATCGCTTTTTGCATAAGTTGCGGTATTCGGAAGGAGTTCGGATAGTGGTCGAACAGACAAAATTGGTTTTGGTGAATTTTGAACTGGTGAAGTTACTGAAAGTTTAATATTTTCTTCCATTGGTTTTTCTGCACAACATTCTGTTGGTTTTTCAGTGGGTATTTCTAACACTGGGAAATTATCTAAATGATTATCTATCAAATGGTCTAAGCAACTTCTGTAACTATGGAGTCCTTGGGGCATTACAATAACTTTGCAAATGCAGCAATAACCATCCCATTTATCATCTATGTGAGCTACCTGTATATGCTTTTTAAAGGATATCATAAGTGCTGTTCTATAATGTGGATGACCGTTAATACAACAAACATATAGCTTAGAACCTGAATCGGTGTAAGTAACTTTAAGATGTGGCGATTCATTAATATCTTTACCGCGTTCAGTTTCGTTATCGTCTGTAATTTGAACATTCGGTTCATCGAATGGTGTTAAAGTTTCACTTCGTTGTGGCAATTCATTCTCAGATTCCCTAATTTCGTCTATGTCTTTCGGTTCTTCTTTTACCTTTAAACTTGTTACATTGCTCATTGAGACATGTAAGATTTCTTCGTTATCAGTATCATTTTCAAATGTTATTTTAGAATGTATCTTGGTGATTTTCTTTGAATTCACTAAATTAGATTCATGACAAATTGCAGTTCTCGAGGCATTATCGCTTTCATCGGCAATTTCACTTTTTTCATCGTTCATGGCCGAATTAGCACAGATTCGGGTACTTCTCAGAACTCGTTGCTCTTCTGATTCATTACTAATAGTTATCTTCTTTGTTTGTTTTAAAAGAGAATTTAAAGCTTTTACTGACAAGTGTGACATATTGATTGTGTAAACTTCGGTTTGTTCGTTGTTGTGCCTAGTAATTACGTGTGTTTTCAAATTTTCTAACGATAACTGAGTATAATTACAATTGCCACATATGTAACCTATTAACTGCCCCTTCTGTTTCAAGGGAGGTGGGGGTATATCTAAAGCGAGCGGACATTTCTCATTGTCTTCGCAAACAGTGCAAGGTTCTTTATATTCCCCAGTATGAGCACTTACTATGTGCCAAAAGAAACTTTCTAATGTTTTACATTTTGTGAATTCTTTAAAACAAAATCTACAAACATAACGATAGCTTGGTATTTGACAAATAGCTCGAAAGTCTATTGTTTCACATTGTTTAATAGCTTCCAGGGCTATGTCTGGGCTCATACGTGATAAGGGTATTTCGCTATGTGGATGTTCTTTTCTATAATGACATACAATATTTGTAAAAGTTTTATCACATAATTTGCAGTCATATTCGGAGATACTTTTAGAAAAACAGTACAATTTATCGACATAGCAATTAAGATTCGGAATTTTAGTTTTCCGATCTCCATCCATTGCATTTTCAAGAAAATCTGTAGCGATAATTTTCGGTTTAGTATTTATCAATTTCTTTTTCTTATTCTTAGTTAGAATTATGCCAGATTGCCAAGCACTACGCTTACGTTTTGGCTTTTTCTTCTTTCCGGAGAAAAGTCGTTCGGAAGATTCACATTGAGATGACTCGGCTGAATCACTGTCGTTTTCAGAGGAATATTCTCTCTTTTCCGCAGTTGATATAGATTCATTTACTGATTCTATTTCAAACAGATATGGATCTTTTTCAGATGCTGTTTCTTTATTAACAGGACTAAGTGAATCTTCATTAATTTTATTATACCTGTCAGATTTAATTTTTCTAGTATATTTTCTTTTCGGTGTTTTTTCTACTATTATCGAATCTTCACTATTTTTTAACTTTTCCACTGTATAATTTTTCGCCGATTCTTCTCGTAATTGGCTTTGTGATTTTTCGCCGCCTAATTTAGCTAAGCGGCACATTCTCAAACCTGTGGTACCTCCCAAAATGTCTTCGTCGTCTTTCAGAAACATTTCTCTTATGTCCGCCTGTAAATTTAATAGCTCTCTTGATGGTTTATTTGTCTTTGTTTTTGCTACAGCAACTGATCTTGTTAATCGTTTTTTTGCTGAAATACCACCTTTTCCAAATTTCTTTCCCCGTCCTTTCTTAGTAACTTTCGTACCTTTTGCACATTCAGACTCAGTTTCACCATTAGGCGATATATTTTTATTTATATTGTTGCAAAGTTCTTTTTCGTTAGCATTTACACCTTCGGTGGTATCATCATTATGCTTCATCATTTCTACAGAGGAATCTAATTTATCAATTTTGTGTCTATGAAGAACATTTAAATCACCAGTATCATCGGGAGTGTTTATCAAGGCAAATTTGTCGAGATGCGCCGTTGATTTGCTCTCAACTACTTCGTCGTTCGACAGTATTACTTCATTCGTATTCCCTGAACTAACTTTTGTAATATTACAGTCATTATTAATATCATCTTCATCGTCCGATACGATTGCACTGAGCTTCTCTAATTTCTTTTTTATTTTTTCATTTTCTGACGATTGTTCTCCTAATATACTTAATAACTCTCTTATTTTGGTTTTATCTTGAAGTATTGACAAAAAATTACCAATACTGTCACTTTTATCAACACTTTTTGATGAATCAACAGTTAGGGTAGCACTTTGAACTTCTGAATTTGAACTAGAAATTAGATCATTTGACTCATTTGTACTGTCCGGCGCAATTGCATTCGTTATTCTGTGTTGATCAACAACATTGTTTGTACTATCTGGTCTGCTGGTAGAACTAGCGTGGCTTTCTGTCGATGTATTTTGTTCATGTGAAAGAAATTTTATATCATCTTTTGTTGTGGACACTATTGCGTCACTACTATTATTGTCCACATGTATATTTTTAGGAACACATTCACTCGGTTTTATTTCACGCTTAGAGGAAATAGAAGTTACTTTAGATATAACATGTAACTCAGCCATAGTTACATTTTTATTTTCTGGTACAATTTCATTTTTGCACGACATATCTATATCTTCTGCAAGTGTTTTAGTACGCTCACCGGTATTTTGGTCTTGAGACATCTCTTTGGACATAGAATCCATGTTGTTTCCTACACTTATGTTTTGACCATCCATATAAGAGTTTTCTTTAATACTGTCGAACATATGATCTAACAAGAAATCTTGTTTGAAGGAACCGCGAACTTCATTACTTTTTACAGTATCTATATCGTGATCTAAATCTGCAATTAGCGCATTTATGTTATCTAGTACAGGGTCAGTTGCAATAGTATCTGAAAAGATTTCAAGATCTCCAATACTAGAGTTAACAATTTCGTTACCAGTATTGTTTATAACGGGTTGCTTAGAAATTATTTCCTTCACTGTACTAACAACCTCTTGATTAATATTTTTCTTGATTTCATTTACAGCATTAAGATGTTGTAAATTGTAACTTGAATCTGAAATACTACTTGGTATATTTAATTCGGCAGCTGGTAAACTAATGTCTTGAGTAACATTATTATTGTCACTATGTTCAATTTTTTTAGTATTTGCGTTTTCCTTATCGATATTCAATTCTTCAGTCGAAAGAAATCCTTTTTTATCCATTTCATTATTTCGATCCAAAATATTAAAGTTTAGTTCTTCATTATGTGTAAATTTTTGGGTTGGTGCATTATCTCCCAAATAAACGTCTTTGTAAGGTAAATCGGAACTTTCCAATGGGTTATGCTCTAAGCTTTTACTGACTCTTATGGATTCGCTTTGAACAGCGACATGCCTTTGCACGTTTTCTTCATTTTCGGATTCTGACTCATCATAAATCATTTGTTTTGTTTTACACTTTTTAGTCCTTTTTACAATAACCTCCTCATTCAAACTGTCAGTACTAGATGTGCTTATTACAGAAGAACGGGTTATGCGTCTATTTGAACTCAATTTCAAAACGTTTTGATTACTTTCTTCATCTTTAGTTTTAGTATTATTGATATCTAAGTTCACTTTAACATTTTTGTCGTTACTTGCATCGCTATTATTATCGCCTGTATCGATATTTGAATTCTGTTTATCTGAATCGATACGTTCAATCCTTATGCCTGACCAGTTCGTGCTATTCCTATCCCTCATTTCCTCTGAAATTTTTTCTTTGACATTATTAGTTACATTGTCACTGTCGATTTCCAGAGGACGTTTAATTTTTGGTATTTTGTAATTTTTAACACCACAACCTGGACCCAAAATAGTACCTTTCGATATGTTAGCATCGGAATATATAATCCCAGGTTTCTTATGATAGCGAAATTGCGATTTGTTCTTATGCTTTTCCTTATGTTGCAACTTTAAATCACGACGCGATTTAGGATTTTGATAATTATTTCTGGGAGAACGTCGGTTAATCGATTGTGTCTTTTGAAATTGGGTATTAAAGTCCGATTTCCTTGTATCAGTACTAGTATCACTTTTGTTTTGAAAACTTTTTGTTTTTACGTTACTTTTGGCCCCAAATCTTTTTTCCATATTGTGATCGTTTTTTATTTTAAATAAACGTAAATCGTCCTTTATATTTTTAAAGCTTTCAGACCGAGGAATGTGCAATTCCTTACCGACACTAGATGCCCGACGAAAATCTTCGCGTTTACTAACAATATCAGATTTATTTGTGGTTTGTTTATTATCATGAGTAGTTCGATCAAGGCTGCGTTCACGAATTAAAACCCTACCAACACTAGAAGCTCGTTGACGGCGATTATCAAAATGATTAAGTCTACCAACACTAGTAGCTCGCCGGCGATTACCAAAATTATCAATTCTACCAACACTTTGAGCCCGCCGTCTTCGATTATCAAAATTACTTAACGATTTTTTGTTTTGTTCTATGTTTTGAAGAGATGTATTTTCACTTCTATCTTTATTAAATAACCTACCATCCAAATCACTATCATTTTCATAAGTATTGCATTGTGCTCTGTGATTCGAAAAATTCCTTTCTGCTGAATGCTCTCGTAAGTTATAACGGTCATTATGAAATTGATATTCTTTTTTATCACGATAGCTTAACGTTTCCTTACTGTTAGTGTAACGATTGTCAAATTTATCTTTACCCGACACAACGTCTTTAAAATATCCCTCATTTTTCCGATCATGAACCCTGTTCATATCTTTTCTTCCGAAATGCTGTTTATATTTCCTGAAATCATCTGGCCCTCGCCGATCATAACCATAATCAGGATTATACTTTTGTTCTTTATAAAATCCATATTCCCTATTGTCTTCTCGTTTCTTATAGTTGTCAAAATCGGAACTTCTGTTAAGTCTTGGGTCGTTTCTTCCATGGATTGGCTTTGTGACTTGATATTGTCTCATATAATCACTTCTACCAAATGAATGAGACGGTGTTGTGCAACCTTCTGAGTAATTTGAATAACCCGGTGTACCCGAACCATCTTGTCTTAATAAATTAACGCGTGTTCCTGTCCCGTCAAGGCCTCCATATGAATGGGTAGGTGTTCCTCGATCATCTGATCTCCCAAACGAATAAGACGGTTTATCTAACTGACTAGCCTCTTGGCCAAAGGGATGAGCGAGCGTTGTTGGCGCATCTGCTCGACCATATGCATGAATCGGTGTTGAGGAACCATCAAACTGAGAAAATGTATGACCCGGTGTTATTAACCGTTCTGATCTGTTATATTGATAAGTAGATCTTACTGCCTCATCAGTCCTGCCATAAGAATGAACGGGAGTTCTAGACCCGTCCATTAAGGTAAACGAGTTAACAGGTGTCATTGCTCTTTCGTTTCTTCCGAATGATGATGGCAAGGGTGTTGAGCACTCTCTTCTTCCAAATGAGGGCAATGGAGTAGATGGGCATTCTATTCTTCCAAACGATGGTAACAGCGTAGGCTTACCTTCGTGCCTGGCAAATGATTGGATAGGGGTATTAGGACGTTGGTATCTTCCAAACGAATCTCTCGAGTCGAATTCAATGTCTTTTGACACAGTATTCATTTCCCATATATATGATTCACTGTTACGTTGTTCATTTCTATCACCTTTATTTCCTCCTGAAAACATAGGAGCATAAACATGCTTACTACCTGAAAAATCTTCTGAATCAACACGAGATGAAGTCATTTCATAAGTCCTAGCATTAGGGGTCATAGGCATAAATTTTGATGAACTATCAGATGCAATTAATGTAGGTTGTGTTACGCTTGTGGCACTTAGTCGACTAGGCGTCATGTGTGAACCCGATGTATTTCTACTTGGGATCATACTAGGTTGTTGACCGTCTGAAGATATGCCGGGTAACACAACTTTTCCTTCAGGCTTATAAGTTTCGTCAGATTGTGGGATTTCCCAACGAGAATTTGTTCTGCGAGGGTTAGATAGATTTAAATGTTTTTCAGTGCTGATATTCAAATCTGCGGAATATTCTGCAGATTTATAAGAAAAATCATCAACATTTCTCATATCGACATCAAGAAAAGTATTGACTACGATAGGTTTAACTGGGTCAGAGGGTATTATAACTGGTGGTTTTATTCCCAAATCGGCAAAGTCTTCGTGATCAGGCGACTTCGGAGCCAAATCAGAATAAACATTTAGCGACTCCATTAAATCATCGTCATCTTCAGAACTATCGTTTAAAGGTAATTTTATTGGCAATTTAAATCGTTCACATTCTTTCTCTGTTAGTTTTAGGCTTTGCTTTTTGTTCTGATCTTCTTTCGAACTCTTTTGACTAACATCGCGGAAAAACAATGGTTTCGTAGGTTCATTACATTTCTGTTTATAATTTTCGATCGATATTCTCTTTTTAACAATTTCTTGGGCTCTAGCTACTTTTGTTATTTTAGGCTGATGAAGAGCCGGAGTATTGGTGTCATCAGTAGATGTTATTATCGGTGCAATTGTCGTTTCGCCTAATATTTCCTTTTTTAAAGCCTGTAAGATGTCTATCTCTGAGACAATGTCTTTTTTATTAGATGCTTCTAAGTCTAAAAGCGGAATTTCAACAGAACTTTTCGTATTAACATTTTTAACAGATTCTCTTTCGTTGCTTATTTTGTTTTTTTGCACATCCACCACTTCCTGACAAGTACTAGATTTCACAACCGATTCCACTTCACTGGCTTCATTGACTTTACCGGACTTATAAAAGTTAGGAATAAAAGATTTTGCTTTACTTTCTTCAATGCCTTCTATATCTGGCAATGTTTCAGTTTTACTTTCAGTATTTAGTAGCACACTTTTTTCTGTAGCTTTGCCGTCTTTAATAGATTCCTCACATGTAGACTGCGTTCCTTTTGACGAAACCGCATCAACTTCGTTGACTTTTTCAGGTATATCTCTGTCCGCAACTTTTTTGTCTTTATCAATTGGCTTGCCGTGTAGCAGCATAGCTTCACATTCTTGCATGTTATGTAGTTGTTTATCTTCTTTTTTTAATAAATAAGAATTATGAGTTTTACTGATACCATCCAGAACTCCATGTTGTTGATTTTCATCGATTTCTAATGATTTATTTACTTTCAAATTTGCATCAGTCTGAGAAAAAGATTGAAATTCTGAGTTATCAACAATCGTAGCATTTTTATTTTCAGTGATTTCTTGTTTTGTTGGATCTTGTTCATTTCTGTCCGAATTAATTACAAGACATATTTGTATTTTTCGAGATTTATCTTTTTCTGCATTTATAACAGTTGAAGTAGACGTGTCTTTATTCGTAATAACTAAACTTCCATAAATATTTTCTATAGCTTCACTTTCACTATCAGACAATTCACCTTCTTCAATTTCAGTCGCCATTGCAACTTTATTTTTATTGTTTTTTTTGCAAGATTTCAGCAATAGTTCAGAAATGTCATCCTTCACTCCAGTATTCTTCAGTTCTCTTAAAATCTGTGAATGCAATTCACGTAGCGTAGTAATATCAACGTCACTGTCACTACAATTGATAATTCTTGTTATTATGTCGTCCGTATCCAATGAATTCAACTTCTCTTCAGGAACACTCAGGGTTATATTAAGATCCCTTAGCTTAGTTTGCTTAGACTTTTTTGACTTCTTCTTTTCTTTCTTATACGAAGGAGAATATCTATGTGAGGACTTTCGTGGTGACCTACGGCTAACAAGAGGCAGCTCTGTTTTTGAACTCTCAGGCCAATGTCTGAAACTTTTTTCGGGAGAATGTAGAACTCGCGTATAGTTTCGTTTAGATGACTGTGGTAAACAACTTTTATCGTCACTTATTAAGCCCCTGATGGGCGATATTGTTTTTTGTTTAGGTCTTCTCTGAAACAATGCTGACTCTGTATTTCTCTTCAATTGTACTTCTGTGATAGCACCATCTCTATCTACTTCTGGACTCAGTCTTGAAACAACTGACTTTAACTTGTTTCTAGCTTCTTTTAAATCGGATGCTTCAGTTTTTTTTTCGAATTCTCTTTTTTCCGTTACAGCATCTCTCTGCAATAACACAATATTATAAATAAATGATACTAACATTGTACGTTCTATTGCCAACATCCACAAAATTATTAATGTTTATTTATGTTTTAGGAATGTATGTTAACTTGAATTTATAAAATCAAAACATCGATTTTTAATACATTTTTTAAACATACCTGTTCGACTTTTGTATGGAGAGTTATCAAGACTTGTTCGCATTTTAATAAGTTTTCCATTTTCATTCTGTAAAGAAAAATGTAACTATAGTGTCAAACAGTACATTGAACACGATATCAAATTCTTAAGAAATAGTTAACCTTTTTTTCTTATTTTGTAATAAATCTCTTAGAGATCTGATTTTATCAAGCTGCGCCTGCCGCGGGTTTCTCGGTGTGTCGCCAATGTCCAGCCTTGTTATCATTCTTTCCAAGAAAGGAATATAAGCTTTCATTTCTTCGAATTTTCGATCGTAATCTGACTCCATTTTTGTAACTAAACAAATTAAAAATAAATTTCCAATTAGCATCGAATGTGTAATATTCGGAGCGCTTGAAATAATAAGCTTTTTATTTTAAAATGTTTATTCACACGTTACACACTAAAAATATAACTAATTCGACATTGATTTGACTCTTGCAAATAAATGCTCTACCGAAATAACCACTCTATAAATCTTGTGCATAACTAACACTACCAAATAATAGCGAGCAGGGTTATTTCTATTATCTGGTAATTAAACGATATACAACGGTATACAAACAAAAAAACAATACTGTTAGAATTGTGACTTTCGAATCAACATCCTTTTAGAAACTTTACTGTTAACATCCTTTCACTATAATTCATATTTAAACAAACCCCTTAAATTTTTAAGAATATTACAATCTTAAGAAAATCACCACGATTTATTTTGATTACATTACTCACAATGTTCACTTTTTTATAAAATAAAACTGCTAAAATTTTTATAGCTCACTTACATCTAATATACATCATTAAATACTTACTAAGGAAAAAAAATCAAGGTAACCATAAGTCTTAAAGTAAAGACAAGACCATGACACGCCACACAATGAACATGAAAATTAAAGATATAATCGATACAAAAAGTTAATTTACTCCCACTGTTTGTGGAGGATTATTATTATTAGATGAATTGGCTTGCATATCTTAATTATGGGAGAAAATCTACATTGTTGTGCTAAATTCTTAGGTAAACCCACGTTAAAAGTGTCTACTACTTAATTCTTATCTAGATTTCATTTCTTGTTCATTAGAACGACTTCGAGCGTTGATGGTTTTTGAGATTTTAATAAGACATATATGTAATCGAGACAAAAGACCAATAATCAAAATATTTAAGGCTAGATTTTTTCAATAAATACTAACAATTGTCAACCTTACTTGAATTTTAAAAACTAGTTCGTTTCAATTTTTTTTATATATGTATATGAATTCAACTTTCTCATTGAGAAAAATTAAGTTTTTCTGAATAATTTTCTAAAAGATGTTCTTGTTAATTATTACAAGAAGTAAACGATCGATTCAAGAGTCAGATCATTCTATTTTCAATAAAACTACAGAAACACATGCAATTCTTAATACCGGATTCAAAAGAGCATATAATATATATTATTGCTATTGTCGATAAAACATGTAAATTATATTTATCGCAGTCATATTTCTGTATCATACACTCCACTAAATTATTAATAAGTATGGTATCATAAATCCTGTACAACCTTATGATTTATCCATTCCGAAAGATACCTAACACAAAAAATTACAACAAAATAAAATACATAAACCTATTGAATACTAAGTTTATTTTAATCTCTTGACTGTAGTTGTACCATGTAGCTCGTGAGTGCGTAGATGATGTGAGGCAGTGGTGTTAGCTCAAGAGTTAACGGTGATTGTATCGACGTGATGTGGCGACGAAAGCGCGATTGCTATCTAAGTTTTTACTGTACCAGTGAAGATCCTGTAGCACAAAGCGTAGGGACGTGGCATTAATAGCCACCCGCTATGTAAAACCGACGAACTCGCTGTGTTAAGCAGTTCCTGCTGCTGCTGCCACAGTAATAAAGGCCAACTTGTGGTACTGGCGTGTTTAGGAAACACCATTTGGAGACCACTTTCATCTCCGCTGTACCTCGTCTCGAGGACTGGTTTATAGAAAAGCTTCTAATCCTTTCCGTTGACTGTCGATATTGTTTTTAACACCATCAAAAAGTGTCTTCATCACATCACATCTCAGATATCCCACTTCTGACACCAAATATTAATGAATTTTACCGTTAACATCTTTTCTCAATAATTAATATTTCAACAAATTTACATTTATTTTTTATAAATAATTTTATATAATATTTCTAATATTACAGTAGCTAACAGAAAGAGGTAGAATCCTAAGTACCTTCAAAATTTAAGATCACATTTAAGATAAAAATTGGTTCGGATACCCGAGACAATGGTAAATGAGAATGTTCGTTCGGTAGCAGTAGACACCGTAAAATACAAATTAATTATAAAGACACGATTTGACGTTTCGTTTCATATGAGTCGACCCATATAACATTACTGTTTTATTTAATAACCAAGAAATATAGAAAGGTAACTATTTAATGTTCTCTTTATTTTTGGAAATAGAAAAAATATTTCGTCACCTGTTATAACACGTTTTAGTAGTTCTGTATCGTTATTAACTTCATTTAGCGACTCCTGAGCAACTTCCATTCGCCGCTGTTTTTGTTAGAAATTCAACAATTTTGGAACGAATTTTGCTGCCACACGAATTTTTTAAAAATAGAAAAAAAAAATATTTTTTTTATTTTTAAAATTTAGAATTTTTCATACCCAAAACATCCGAAAAAATTTCATGGCATGAGCCAACTGATATGCCAACATCATCAGCGACTCGACATCTATCGTTCATAACCATTTCTTTCACTTTTTTCACGTTTTCATCGGTTGTTGATGTGCCTGGGCGTCCGGGTCGTTCGTCATCTTCAACGTTTTCGCGGCCATCTTGGAAACGCTTATACCACTCGTAGCAGATTCACCATATGCCTTTGTTAACATTTTACAAACTTCACTACACTTCATTTCATTATTTACGCAATTTGAATACAAATTCTTTGATCCATTTTTTTTCACAAACGAAAATCGCCGAGCTCCAAAAACACATGTAACGTTAGTGGCGACCACTTAAAAAGTAAACCATGAATATTGCTAAAAGTGACGTGCATTTTCAAAGGTTTCTATAGTTAGACTAAAGCAAATTTAGCTATAAATTTATCATAATTTTATTAACAGCTAGTAACATCTAGGCAATTTATATATATATATTTAATTACATTATACTTAGGCATAGCAGCCCACTGAAATGTTTTCGAACCAATTCGACTAAGGGTCCTCCATGAAAAGAGCTTACTAATTCTTAAGAAGCCGACAACGCACTGGCGAGTGTCCATGGGCGTTCTCTGGTATTGAGTGTCCATGGGCGGCGGTATAAATTAACATCAGGTGAGGCTCCTGCCCGTTTGCCCCCTGTTCTATAAAAAAATAATAGCATAGCATATTTCATGCAAATTGATTCGGCTTTTTGTGGTTGGTTATAAATTGTATCGATATTTATAAACACCATAAGCCGATAAAATATATATAATAATAAGAGGAAACTATATTAAAATAGAGCGCGGTAGATCTCAGAAAACATTTATTTAATGAACTAGCGATAATTATAATAGAAAGTTAGTAAATTTCTAGTTAGAAATTTAAATAACACATAATAAGTATGGACCATTTGCCGTGACACATCAGTTTTTAGCACAATGCACAGTTGAAATATAGGAAATTAGAATTACCTTTAAATTAAGTGCACTAATACTGTATCTTATTGAAGTTATATTTATATTAGTAATTCTGTCTTTATTTGATTATTGATTTTAATAAATGGGTTGATTGATTGTGGTCCACACACAATGTGTATTTAAGTTTCCGAAACATACATTGAGGCCTGTCCGGAGTTTGATAAAAGTAAAATGAAGAAAAGGTATGTCAGTTATAACCCTATTGCCCTAATTATTATATTATTCTTTATGGCCAGGGCCCGGACATCAGCTTGTACGTGAGCCCTTTGCACCGTGCACTACACGTATTTATTGACCTGATAGTAACCTAATAATTTATTAATTCGTGACAAGCAAAGTAGATCGTAGAAAACGTCACCTTTTTAAAACTTCAAAAAACGTTCATCGATGAGAGATATATTTTATTATTTTACTAGTAGACTCGGCCAAGCGTTGCTGTGGCTAAGATTTTTGTTATATTACATAGTAGTAAACTATTCAAGAGAAACGGCAGGAGATCACCAATCCACCATGCTTTTTTGGTGGTTATGCCATTAAATTGTAGCTTATGTGAAACGTTGGTATTTATTTTGATAAGGATCAATACCTAGGTACGAATACAGAGCCTTTTCTAGTGGTGGTATTTTAATAAAAAAAAATTAAACTATACTACTACTAAACTATAAAAGATAGAGACATGCTGTCGCGATTTTTTTATAGATAGTGATGTGTCCTGAAAAATTGTAATACATCATTTTGTTCTATCATTAATAGTTTTCACAGCGCACGCGAGTGAAGGAAGTTTTTTGTTTATTTTTTTACACCTTGGGTTAGATTATTCAAGTTTTAGTAAGCATCTCTATTTTTTTTGAAATGAAACATAGCCTATGTCACTCGGGAATAGTATAGCTTGCCAACGGTGAAAGAATTTTTGAAATCGGTCCAGTAGTTTCGGAGCCTATTCATTTCAAACAAACAAAAAATCAAATCTTTCCTCTTTATAATATAAGTATAGAAAAGATTTTATTAGTTATATATAAATATTCAGACAGAGCCTATAGATATGTAAATCCCAGATACCTGCACCATCGATTTATTACTATTATTTACCATGCACAAAGCATATTTAACATAATCTTGGGCTATTTAAGAACTATATAATTATATATTTCGTAATTATAATTACCATGAGAAACATAAATCTCCTTATGGATATACTAACTAGTTATTAATATAAACGTGGGCTGCAATCTTTTTCATATTACGTAAAATATATAATAATTCTGAGCCTTATGAAAACTCATACACATCCGCCATCTTGTCTACTAATAAGTTCCGAAGTTGTTCGATTTATAATACCGTTCTGTTTGTTAGTAATTTTAGGTTTAAGTTGGAGAGCGTATGGGCAAAGGAATATACCATATATATATATATATTCATAATTTATATAGGCTAACTAACCACAAAGATAACAATATAACCAGTAGTGCTTGTCAATACTCTCGAAATTACCTTCGTGTAAATAAAAAAATACCACATCCGGCAAACTGCCAAATTAGTATTTCTTGAACATTCTTGGCATGTACTTAGTCAAGATTCGAATTTAATAGGAATAAAGATGTTCACTGCA